TCCTTTATGAAGTACATTAAAGACAAAAGGCATTAAAGTCACTTCACACTAATTTAGCAAAACTATTTTATGCCAACATTACCTTAACAGACATTTCAATAGAACATGAACAATTACAGTGATTTCACAACTACTTACTCCAATTAACAAAATATTGTATAAAAACTTGTTCAAAAGGTTACATTCACTTCCTCATTTTGATATCACGTGGTTTTAACAATGGTTCCAACAGATTCAGAGACAGAAAATTACTTACCTCAAACATGTATATTCTCCAAAGGCATACACCTGACTTGGATTACTCAGGGCTCAGGTTCCCTAACAACTCAGAGGATTTGGGAGCTTAGTATACCCAAACTTCCCAAAAAGGCTCATGATTTTACTCATCAAGGGGCCCTTAACAAGGTGAGAAGATGCCACAGGATGCACCAGCGAACAAAGGCCCTAGAGGGTCAATTAACATTCTCAGTCAGGGAACTCAGGCAGGTCCTCTCTCCTGTCTAGGGCATGTCCACTGACACGGCTCCAGAAGGATCTCCCAGTGGGTGCCGTCACAGCTCAGTCTGCTTCATGATCTGGCTTGGGTTGGATTTGAAGCGCTGGCTACACAGGGGTAGATTTTTTCCTTTGTGATGCAAAGCAAAAGGACGACGAAGAAGCAGGGTGAAACAGAGATGCCCATGTAGTTGCTGCAGAGACTTTCACAGGGGCAACATCTGGGTTAGCTGCCCCAAATCACCCAACAGGCCTGAGTGTCTGACCTAAAACACAGTAGCAGCAGAATCAGTTCCAGTCTGGTCCTCGCTCTGAACAATTCAGCTCTGAGATCTTTGGCAAGACAGCATCCACAGCCTTCTCTTTTCACCTACGGGTTTGACTACGATTTTCAGCAATAACTAGATAGGTTAATAACAATTTACTCCAGCTGAGATTTAAAACTGTCAATGATAGCGCCCCAGCAAGATTCTTAATTTATGTGATGTGACTGTGGGGTCTGGGTGTCATACAGACTTAACTCCTCAGGCAGTGACACGGGCATCCATGTTCACAAAGTGAGAGGTGGGTGGAGTACCTGGGACTCTTCAATATCTAAGACCAGGGTGGGAGCTGGCACTCTGGCACTCTTGGAGGCATTCCAAGGCTCTGGTCATTAAGTGAAATGTTCAGGAATCTAAGAGCCAAGGATGCCATCACTACTGCTGTCAAAGCCCCACAGTGGTGAGAAAGGTACCCTTGTTCCCTCCATCACCTGTGTGGCTCAGTGAGGACTAAGGGGGGCTTTCCAAGGGTGGAGACATCCCACGTGTACTCAGTTCCCTTACACATTCTGAATTTGGGCCAATGAAGAAAGCATGCATTAAGGTAATAGCTATGGTGTATCCTCACCACATCCCAAGGAGAGTTCAGGAGATGGGGAAGGGCTGTGGGGAGCAGTGTGAGGAGGCAGGAAAAAACGGGTACAACACTGGGCATGAGAGTCAGATAAGTTCTGGAAGACAGTACTATCTCCAGAAACTGGTCATTCGGCTGTTGTTAAGGAAGGAGATGACTGATGCTCTGGACGTGCATTTATCCCTGATGGTCCTGACGCACTGAGAACTCCCCGTCAAGCTGTGCCACGAGGGCCAGAGCATTACCACTCCAGGGTGGGGAGCAGGAGGCCTGGATCCAGCTCCAGGTCTGTCAACAACCAGCTGTACCTAACTGTTTATGGGAGGCTTTTCATTAGTCCCAAAGCCAAAGCAGACTCTTTGTCAACTTTTCCAAAAACACATAGCAGAGACTGCCACCGGGAACACATCGGTGGGTCTTTTCCATACCAAGTATCATAGTCACAACAGAAGGATTCTCAAGTGGCCTAACCTTGCCTATCTACACCAGTTTTGAAAGAAAGGTAATTAATATTTGATTTCACAATGTATTGCGATGTTTACCTTTGGGTCATATCCGATGTTAAAAGAACTTAAAAAAAAAAAAATTATCCCATTTCTCCATTCTGTCTCACGCTATGCCTTTTATTGCTACTTGTAAGGTAATTCAGGGCTGAATTTAATGTTGCAAATTTAATCCGACTGCATCATCTTACAGATATGGAAAGAGAACTGACTTGACCAGTTCACACAGCTGTCTACAGCAGGACAAAGCACTGAAGATGGACAGCCCCCTACCTAATGTGAATGCCCTCATTCTCTCTCGGTCTCTGACAAGTTCTTCAGGACAACAGGCCATTGGGAGGGAAGTGTCAACACAGCAAGGACGCAGGCTTTCGTGGCACCTGCTTGGCTACATGCACGCAGCTATCTCAGGGAGAAGGGGCAGCAGAGACGGGGACAACTGTGGCCCTGCCTCCCAGACTCACTCCAAGACCTGCCCTCAAAATGACCTGGCTGCTACTTCTCACACAGCTGACGACGATGGATGGGCCCACTCCAGGGGACTGGTTATTTGTTCACGAAAATTCTGTCATGCCTGCCAATCCCATGAACAAATGCCATCTTCACTCATCCGCCTTCCTCCTCCCAAAAGGTAGAAGAAACTAAATACAGGTAATTAGACAGCCAGGCGTCCAGGCAGGCGGTGAGTGATGAGAGCACAGTCATCATCCACCAAGGATTATGCGTAATTCTGGAACTCGTTAGGAAATCATGACAAAGTGAGCCTGTTTCCTTAACTGTAAAATGGGACATGACTCCCCTCAGCTGCTCGGATGGAACACTGTGAAGCTATAGACTAATACTGTATGGCACAAAGTGCTTTGCAAAGGAACAGAGGGCACTAAACATTAGGGAATTTCTGAATTCCGTTTTAAAAAAATTTTTTTACTATATCACGTCAAGGTGTGTTTTGGAGAAACCATTTCCCCAGTATTAAGATGGATTATATAAAAAGGGGTTTAGTGGACAACTATCAGGAAAATATTAGGTTAAAAACAGTTTTAACAGGGCTGGCCCATTAAGTTCATAGCGGTTAGGTTCTCGCACTCTGCTTCAGCACCCGGGATTGGCAGGTGTGAGTCCTAGGGGTGGACCGACCCACTGCTCTGTGACGGTGTCCCACATACGAAACAGAGGAAGACCAGCACAGACGTTAGCTCAGGGACAATCTTCCTCACACACACACAGAAAAGTTCTCACAATCGTTTTTAAACTTAAAATTCCTCACAGCTTTGAACATAACGTATACTGTACATCTCCAAGGTGGAAAGACAAGTGAGCAGCACTTTCCAGACTTCCACGACCACCCAGCCCTTTTCACGTGGGCCATCTCGGTGGAGCAGTGTTCTACAGAACATACGTTAGGGAAAAACACAATATATATTCTCCCTAGATTCCTATTATTTGCTTGAATACAAAATCGTAAGACACTTTTGCTAGAAGAGGAATTTCTTCACATAAACAATGTTTATCAGCCTTTTATAAGTCACCTGTCCCAGCTCTAAAGTAGCTCCAAACCTGTTAAGGCCAGATCACTAACATACCCTCTTTCCAAGACCATTACGAACACTTCATCATCAGGACAGAGAACGGACCCTTCGAGTTTTGTAGAAGTCAAACACGCCTTTGTCTCGGGCAAAGGTGTCTGTTGCAACAGACAGCAGCTCTTCCCTTGCTGGTCCAGCAACACAGTCTTCTTGTCCTCTGGGCCAGCCAGAAGAAAGGGAAGCCTTCTGCCACGAGTAATTTAATTGTTTACCTAACACTGAATTCCAAACAAAATTCTGTACCTGATTCATACAAAATATTTTGAAAATAAGAGGCAGCAACCTGAGACGGAGTTGGTATGAGAAAAACATGGACACCTGAAACTAATACGGTATTATGGCACTCACACCTCAATAAAAAAAAGAAAAAAAACATGGTACTGTGCTTAAATAGCAACATCAACTAAAATATTGAAAGAGATGGCTGTAAAATTTAGTCTAATGGTACCTATTTTTATGGTGTTGACTGTTACAAAGAATCTGGTAGGAACTGGTGGCAATGCAGTGAGTCCTACACCAGCTCCTGAATCTTCTCTTACAGCTGGTAGAAGCATTACAAGGTTTGGCAACACCTTGGCACGGACCAAGATGGGTCAGTCTTCTCAACAGTGGGCAAGAAAGCTATCTACAGATTATGTCTAAGAGTTTACTTTACAGCCCTTCACTAGATGATACAAGCTGCAGAACGCACAGTCGCTTCTGTGATCCCAGAGCTGCCCCTGTGCCACATGACGTGAGATGCTCAAACTCTGTCTCTGCTGCACCAGAGACGGTCTCTTCTGGGGAGAACAGACACCTCTCTGCAGGCTGTGGGAGCTGGCACTGTGAGGCAGGGAAGACAAAGCTCCTCACTAGTGAACAGGCTGACAGTGAGCCACATGGCATCTACATGGACACGACGTGAAAACATTATACACCGAGACCACTCAGTTTCTTCCTCCCGTGGCTGTGAAGCATAAAATTCTAAAGTACTTCAACAAATTCCTGGTGCTTGCCATCTTCAGGTAGCTGACATTTTACCACCCCGACTCCCTGTAACAGTGGCTGGGAGGGCCCACCTGGCCCTCCATCTGATGGTTCATCCCTTCCCCCAACCTTTGTAGGAATAAGGCTACTTAGAGGGAAACTCAGATTCTCCAAAAGGAGCACACTCTAAGTCGCACTGGTAAATGACGGCGTTTTCCAGCAGCTCTCAGAAACTGGCAAGGGACAGAGCCCATTACCACCCCCACACTCGCCCACCTTCACACGTCTTGCTGACAGGGACACGGCTGGCAACAGTGAGTGTACACACAAGAACAAGTGATCAGGCGTGGATCTGCGTGAGTGCTGGCCGTGGAGCTGACTCTACTGCACAGGCTCTTCAGGCCCTGTCAGCTCTCCCCAGCTCAGCCCTTACGCCGTCGATTTCTGCTGCAGAGAACTCAGATGTGATGTAGCTGCTCCAGGAACTCTTTTTCACAGGACTGCATGTCAGTACTGGGGATGGTTTCTAATCAATTTAAACTGCACACAGGACTTTAACAGAACAAGAAGTTTATTACTCCCACTCAGTAGTTCCTGGGGGCTTTGAAGTTAAGTCATACATAATTCGAGAAATACCAGGAATCTTCTTAATCTCAGCGACCATCTTTAACACCACCTGTTATAAAACAAACATTATAAATATAAGAGCCAGGACCCACTGCATGTCCAACAGGCCTAGAGGGCTTGCATTTGCAACTCGAAATTAAAATGTGACCTATTTTTACGATTGTCCTCTATGTAAATGGGATAATCTCTGATGACTTTTATGTAGTGAACCCATTTCCCCCTGTTTTTTAAGTGACAAACTCAGTATTACTCAAAGTGCAGCCTGCAAACAGGGCCAGTCTGCAAGTTGTCTGTCACTGGTCTATAGCAAGTGTTTAGAACATTTACAGCAATCTGTCACTGCTGTGCATCCAAGCATGTGACCTTATGAGTTTAAGCCAACACTTCACAAATTATCTGTGGCTTAAACACACAACTCTGAGGCCACCAAGGTGACGCATAATGCACTGTAATAATAACCACTACCAAGTGTACAGGAGGAGAGGGAGGCCTGGTCACTTGACTGGACAGATTTTGGCAAATTTGAGCCTAAGGGGAAACTGACTCTAAGCCACATTCCCCACCTTAGCCATGCAGCTATGACCAGAGCCCTGTGTCAGAGTACTGGAGCAGGGGTCCAACTAACACAGTCTCACTTTGATTTTCATTTGCTGTTACGAAAACAGCTCCTTTGGTGAAGAGTTAACAGGAGAGGGAGACGCTGATCAAAGATGGAACCGGTAGTAAGCAGAGCATTAAGCAATTCATGGGTATCTGGCCGTAATGCCATCAAATTTCATCTTTATTTCTAATAAACTCTTCTCCACTCCTAGGGTTTTCTTCTTTACTTGGAGAACGCTGTTTGCCAAGTAAGAGCTGGCAACGTTAGACACAATTATAGCTCAGAGCTGGTTGCTCCCCACACAGCAATCAGACATCTGGAGGGTGTAGCCAATTTAAGGCCTTTTTCTACTACAGTGCATTAAACAATCAATCATGTGGAGATAAAAAAAAAAAAATAAGAGCCTATCTTATGAACAGAACACCAACCCCAGAAATGTCAACATTGTCACAGCCTGTTCCAGTCACCAAATTATAAAATGTATGGTACTGAAAATGTACATTAGAAAAAAACACCCAAATTACCTCTACAGGGATCTCACTGCCAGGTGTTGCAGGTACACCAGTCATGAAATCACTTGTAATAAAGGTTCGGATAACCACAGATCTCTGGCACGAAGGCTGCTTCTGAAGTGGGTCTCGATCAAAATGTAACGGTGTTAGAATCACAGGCATCTGGCTGATCTTCCCAGCATACCCTGGAGAAAGGAGGTCACCACACTCAGCTCAGGTAAACCCTCCCAGACAACATCCCCGATCACCCACGCACACCACAGTCTGGACCGTGGCCGTGCGCTGTGTCCACCCCTCTCAAGGCACTGTAAGTGAACTCAGTCAGACACAAATAACAGAATTTGAGGACTACAGCGATATGTCACAGTGACGTGAGACAGTGAGTCGATTCCTGCTGTTAATGGCAGTTACTCCACAAGCAGACACTGAATGAGCGAGCACTGAGCCACCGGCCCAAGTGAATCACGGGGTTAGGGTCCCCTGAGCCTCTGCTCACATTTTCACCAACCCATCAATACAGAACCTTGTTTTGTGTGTTTCTGTTTAAAGACACCTCATTTAATATTCACTGTAGCTTCATTAACACTGAACTCATGGCCAATAGTCCTGTAACTCATCCCCGAACGACTTCCCGTCTGACTCACGTATTTTCTCCACAAGGCACATCAGCCTCCCTGCGCTTAGGAGCCTGGACAGCACCTCAGCACCATGCTTGGGGGACATTTTAAACAGTGAAATGACCAAGAAAAAGCACAAAAACAAAAACCACAGCACAGAATAGACTCTCAAAAGGACACTTCTTTACAGCACAAGAGCTAAACAAGGAGGCAGGGCATGGCCTTGTTCAACCTCAGCTGGGAACGTGCAAGTCAGGCAACTCAAACTTCTGCCATTCTGCACATCCAACAATGACCACGAAGGTGAAAAAATGTAATACAGAAGGCAGTATCATGGAACTAGCCATAGAAATGAGTAATAAAAATGAAAGCACCTAAAAATTAGAAGTTGCATCCTCCCACTAGAAATCGTCATGCCAGGCTTCCACACTCTAGTTAGAGCATGCAGTGACACACAAAATGAGCAACTTACCAGACTCCCTGAGAATGTTATGGGCCTCAAAATCAGCTTGGCGTAGAGTACTGAGCACCCCTGTTGTCAGGAAAGTGGGAGTGACATCCGTAGGAGGTTCCTTAACTGGCGGGCCAAATATATAGACCACTCTACGAGGACGGAGGCGAAAATCCCAGAGAAATTACTTTTGAGCATAAGAAGCAAGTCACACAGATGAACGCTCTTTTTGTTTCTTCTTAGGCCCCTCTCCTGCCCACTCCAAACCCCAACATGGGTAGGACACAATACAAGATTATAGAGGGGTCTACAGTCTGTGTACCTTCCTCAGAGCATATTCTCTGGAATACTAGTATCTCAATGTGCAAAGATACTACGATTATCACAATCCTCTTTTCATGGTATGTACTAGGTTAAAGAGTGTGCCCCAAACTTCATGTCCACCTAGAACCTTTGGGTGACAACAGGGTCTCTCTCTGCAGGTGTAATCAAGTTAAGACAAAGTCATAACGGATCAGGGCGGGCATTAACCCAATGACTGGTGTCCTCCTAAGAAGAGGGAAATCTGGAAACACAGACATACACAGAGGGGTGAGGCCATGTGAAGATGGAGACAGAGACTGGAGGTACCCTGCCGCACGCCAAGGACTGCCAGCAGACACCAGAAACCAGGGAGGGGCGGCAAGGACCCTCCCTGAGAGGTTCACGGAGCATGGCCCTGCCCACACCCTGATTTCAGCTTTCCAGCCTCCAGAACTGTGAGAAAATAAACTTCTGCTATTTTAAGCCTCCCAGTTTGTGAGGATGTTATGGCAGCCCTTGGAACTAACACACACAAGCCTGGGGAGACAGTGAATTGAACAAATAAATAGGGTGTTTTATGACAAAACATCACGAACTATAATATGCACCAGAAACCTCCTAGATGAGGCTACAGAGGATTTCCCGAACTTACCCGACCACTCAATCTTGTTTTTTCACTTTAGGAAACATGGATCTGAAAGGCAGATTCTCATTTCCACTTTATTAAATATGTCACCAAAATAGAACTTGGTGTCCTTCTATTTCCTTCCAGAAGGAATGACTCACGACTGCTTTAAGTGAATACCTATTTGAAAGCTATCAAGATACAGGACAGGTGTTGCTAAGGGTTCAGAACAGAGCCTGAGGAAGCTGGGGTCAGGTCACGACACCTCCAGGGGAGCCCCCACTGGGTGGAGGCTCTGTTCACAACCTTCACCCAGAGAACAAGAAGCCATCAAGGCCGAGACGAGGGCCACCTGCTTCTCCCCACTCCAACTCCAGCCAGAAGGCAACTGTCCTTTTTCCTTGGCCCTGTCTTCAGCAACGAAAATAATCTCCCTTATTAAACTTCACCATGGTAGTTGCTAATGTTCTTTTTTCTTACTATGTACTTAGAATAAAACATAAAGGAAAAAAAACAGCATCAGATCAAAACCACCACTACTACCAACGACTTCACTGCCTCCTTCCAAACAGACGGTAAGAGGAAGAAGGTTTTTTGTCCTGTAGAAAGGAAACCACGCTTCTAAACAACATAGTTCCTAGAGCTCCTTAACGACTCAGAGGAAAAAGCAACCAGGCAAGAGATTCCCACGAACTTGCTCTTTTTGTTTTATTTCTTACAACCAAGAGTGAGCACAGCAGGCACAGGGATAGGCAGTCTTCCACATGGCAGAGAAGAGTGAAACTGGAGCAGTGCCTCTCTATACAAAGATTCCATCATGGAAATTAGGGGGAAAAACTTGCAAAGATGGAACTTTTTTTATTGTTTAAATTCCAATTCCCAAAAGGACCTGGAAAGAAATCTAAAATGTATCAAGACTCTTCCAAGGGCTTACTAGGTTCCTATTTAAAAATCTAGCTTTTTTGTTTGTTGGTTATTGGACTTTTCATTTTGGGGGGGAGGGAGGAAGGGTTAGGAGAGGAGGGAGAGACATATGGAAGTGAAAAAGAGAAGACAGAGAAACCAGGATATAAAAGGACAGAGATAAAATTTACACAAGGGTGAGTGCCCTTCAGCAAAGAAAGAGAGATGGAACTGTAAGAATGTTGTGAAATGAAAACATAATAATTACACAGTAAAAGCAGTGGAGTCAAACTGGGGAAAGGGGATTCTCTGTGTGACCTACATAGTTTATTTAGGTATTAGCTAAATTACGAACCATTGTTTTAACCAAGATAATTATCTCCATTCAAAACAGGAAATTAGAAATTTAGCATTATTTATTAATAATTCACTTTTTTCGGTGTTTTAAAGGTGCTCCTGTATTTGGGGGCCTTAGGTTCAGCTGAGAAAGCCTTTCAACGGGAACGTTCCCATCAGTAAAATCAGGTTCCCCATGACTCTTCTCAAAGGCCACACCAGCAGGCAGTCACACACCCACATAAAGACACTGCCGAGCGAACACCAGCAGGCAGGTTTCTAATTTCTGCAGCAAATGAGAGTAAACTGAAACCTCAAGTAATTCTTTTTAGCTGTTAACTGTCTAGTACCCATGAAGAAAATAGAAAAGAGTGAACAATTGTGAAATAGAGCATTTAATTAACAATTAGTAAGAAAGTGAGGTGGTGGTGTTTCCTGATGAGAGAGATTGGCCCTGAGCTAACATCTGTGCCAATCTTCCTCTATTTTATGTGGGACCCCGCCACAGCGTGGCCCAACAAGTGGTGCTAGGTCCACGCCCAAGATCCAAACCTGTGAACCTTGGGCCACCAAAGTGGAGCGCGAGAACTTAACCACTACACCACTGGGCTGGCCCCAGAATAATTTTCTTACATAAGTAGATGATGGCACTGTGACGAAGGAACAATCCAAGGTATCATTAAATGTCTGCCTACCTGTGGCCTGAGTGCACACCTCTATCTACACTTGAGCCTTTGGCCTCTCAATAGTGGGAAGACCTTAAAAACACATCCTTCTGTTAAGCTCACCCCTGCCCCTGGAGAACATACCTGTTAATGTTGTGACACATGCGCGGTATAAGCCTGGCCAGGAAAATAAGAGACTCCCAGTCAGGCTCATCTCTACTGGAGATTCCACACACGTAACTGTAGGAACGACAGTCACCCTGAAAATAAACATACAAATGATAATTTTTAATGGTTTCATACAAAGTCAAAAGATGAACTGGAAACTATTTCATGCATGGTGACACCATTAATAGTAACTTTTTCCTGTTTTTTTGAACAAAAACATATTTGAATAAAAGTATATATAAATACTTTTTTAATGATAACAAAAAAATCCTACATTAAAATCACATATTAAATTGTACATAAATCAGTTCAGACATAAAGTGTTAAGGTAATTTCAAGAATTTTTTCAACACATGCCAGAGGCCCATTGGAATTTCATTCCAAACACCTGCCCAACTGTGGCGGCCAGCACACTTAATTTGGCAGGCAAGAGCTGTCCATGTTTATCAGGTGGATAAAGGGTTCTCAAGTTGGAGATAAAAATAATTTCATGAACATTTACTTATTAATTTCTTTAAGCTAAAAAAGTTAACTTAAAAATAAGTTAATGAAACTAGTAATAGATTCCCTTTCCCTTTTATCCTGTTTAATACATGTAATTTGCTTTTTAAAAAAAAATCAAACTAAACCAAAAAGCAATTTAAAAAGGTTCACCAGATAACTAGTGAGGAGGAAAGAGTTCTTGACCTAACAGCTGGCCCTACCATTTCCATGAACCAAAATATTTCAGTTTAGTTTAAAAGTAAAAATGAAATTTTTATCATCTTATTTATAGACAGAGCTATACGAATCCAGAAGGAGGAATTTAAACTGATGGCTCAGATTCATATATTTAGAAAAAAGAGTACATTTATTAAGTTCTAGATAAATAATCTCTAAAACAGAGTCAACTTCTTTCCATACATAATTCTACTAAAAGAAGCCATTACAAACACATCAACCCAATAACTGGCAGTCATACCATTTTGAGTTCAATTACTGACACCTTTTCTCATTGTCATTTACCTGCACACCTTAAATAACAGAAAAGAAACCCTCCTCTTCCGTACTCTCCCAAGCTTTCTTTCCCCAGAAACTCACATGAGGTTCATATGAATAAAGGGTGACTTAAAATAATCTATTTATGAATAGCATTTGAAAAGTGAGAACTATATTATCCTCACATGCTTTTACAACTGGAGAGACAGAACAATAAATACAAAAGATGTTAGCTGTACACATTCACAGCTGGAAGAGAGAAGCCATGCTGAAGAGCAGAGAGCGCTGGCTTAATACGCCAGCTGAGACGAGAGCTAAACGGTGTAACATGCTCATTTGAGGGCTTCCTGCCATTAAAGACTTCTAAAGCCACAGGATATGTCACACCAAGAAGGATAAATGAGGACACGACCTCCTGGGATCTGCCCTCAAGGCAGAAGCAGAATCAAGCCAACCCTGAGCATAACATCCTTTCAACTTTTACTTTTGGTTGGAGATGACAGTTATTCCGAAACTACAATCTCAGCCTGAATGTTTCACCCCATAAGCATTCTATAAAACATTGCCTTCTTCATTTCTAAACTTGGTATATACTTTCGCACTTCATTTTCCTAAGTCATCCCCATATCACTACTAGAGGAAAGAGCTAACCCCAGGGCAGTGACTTCACATGGCTCACCTGCACCCCCACAGTTTTGATGGGCAGCAGGAAGGCACTCAACGAATGCAGGCTGGTGATTTGCATCAGCTTCTCCTGATCCTCTTCCGTCGTGCAGGCTTTGACTCTCTGTAACAGTGTATGCGGCTGAGAAGATCAAAGAGACATTTATGTTTCTCAAGGTTTCAAGAAATGTTATCTACTCTTTTGGTACTTATTACCACCTTACATATACAGCAATAGATCCTATTTGGTACTTCTCTTTGACTTGTGTGTGCTATGCAGTAAGTCAGACTTCCGTTCCTGAGGGCTAGGGCTATGAGAAGTTAAATATCTTAAGATAAGAAATGCAGATTAGATTTACACACATCCAGGATTTAATACAGTCACCAGCAAGGTGACACACCTCACATGAGTCAAACCTTCTCCTTATCTGAAATAAAAACTTTTCCCATAAAGTCAACTGTGTCTCAAATTAATATATCTCCACCTATTTGCTTTTGGTTCACTTGCCTGGTACATGTTTTTCCGTTTTTCACTTTCACTCCTTCTATCCCTAAGAGACTATAAACAGACTATAGTTAGATTTTACTTTTTCATCTAGTTTGACAATCTGTCTTAACTAGAGATATCAGTCCTTTTAATTAATTGTGGGTTAATGATATGGTTGGATTTCATTCTACCATTTTATTTAGTAGTTTCTATTTGTTCCACTTTTTACATTTCTTTCTCCTTTCTTACATTCTTCTCAACCAATGATTTCTCCCAGTTCATTTATTTCCTCTTTACTGGTTTTGAAGTTAAACTTTCTATTTTTATTCTTTGGCAGTTCTTCTTAAGTGTTAACATAGATATTTAAAAGAAAGCAATCTCTGTCCTCCTGGCAAACAACACAAGCATTTCCAAATGCTTTTTAACGCCAATCTCCCTTGTGGCTTGTACGCTATTTTAGCTACACATTACTACAATATTTGTTTAATAAACACCAAAAATTAGAGATTATTTTTATTATACAGTCTATGTTTGTTTCAATTTTACCCATTTACCATTTTCTTTGCTTATCATTCCTTTCTGTCTCTCAGTCAGTGGGTTAAAACAGTGATTCTTCACCCTAGCTGCACATTCAAATTACACGGTAAATAATAAATTCTAAAAGAGGCCCAAGCACAGCATACTTCAGAAGCTCACCCAGATGAAGCTAATACACAGCCAGGGCTGAGAACTACTGCCTCTAGTTCCTTAAGTAATGGGCCACCGGTAGTAAATTCTGCTTATCTGACAATGTCTTTATTTCGCCCTGGTGCTCGAAAGACAGTTTAACTATTCACTACTATTCACGATTAGTCTCTCTCGGCACTTGAAGTGCTTTTGCTCTTACTGTTGCTTTCAGTCTAACAGTCTTTGCTGTGCAGCGTCTTCAGTCTGCTCTGCAGCTGCTTGGTCTCTGGCAGTCTGCAGGTCTGTGCAGTACACCTCCTGGGGTCACATTCTTGTCCTTTATCCCGATGGACGTGTTATGTTTTCCTGAACCTGAGGCCTGGTATCTTTCCCCAGTGTGGAGAGACTCAACTCCTTTTGACTATCACCTCCTTCTGGACACATGTTAAAGCTGACCTTCCCATTCTACCTTAACCTCTCCTATCCGTATTTTCTCTTGGATGCTTTGTTCCCATTTCTGGATAATTTCTTAACATCTGTCTTTGACTTCACTAATTCTCTCTTTAGCTGTTTTTAATTTCAGTTATTATTTTCATTTCTAGAACTTAAGTTTTTTTTCAAAGCTGCCAAAACATTTTTGATAGTCTCTCATCCTATACCTTATTCTTATTGTCAATTGCTTCTTTTAATTCTATGTACTTTATATTGTCTGTCTGCTAATTCCAGTATCTGAAGTATCTGAGGGTCTTCTTTGGCTAGTTGTTTCCACAAGCTCATGGTAACTTACTTCTATACACATTCTGTAGTTTTTTAGTGTAAGCTCATATCTGCTGGAACTCTTATCTATGGGAATTTTTGATGGTTGGTGGAAGATACTCCAAAGAGAATTTACACTGCTTCTTGCCTGACATCTGGAAGCACTACCAACCAAGGTCCACTTTAAATGAGAACTCTTAGCTTGTGGTTTTTCAGACCACACAGATTATGAATTTAGGCACCAATCTACAAAAGAACTGAGAGACTTTTCCACTCATCCTCAATTGGGACCTAAAATGGTTTCCTTTACTTTCTTGCAATATACCTAAAGTATTTTAAAACACCATTTCATATCTAGCATTTTTTGGGACACAGGGTACCCAATCTGTCTATGGCTGGAAAGAGAAGTCTGCATTTAAGAGTCTCTGTAGAATATTTTCTTCAGTCACTTCAAAGGTTAAATTACTCTGAATTTTCAAATAACGAAACCCTAAGAAATTCATTGTAAATACGTAGTACAACAAGAATCCATTCAATTCCTTGTACTGATTAGCTGTGTCTATTTAAAGCTCCTATAGTATACAATTTAATGCAAATTATTACCTTTTTAACACTTGCAGAAAAATCAGCTACTATTTTCAAAATATTATTGGTTTCAGGAAAGTCCTTACAAATATAAGGTTCTTCAGCACATATTACTCTGATTGCCAGACCAGGACCTAAAAAGAAGAGTAACCGTGGTATTTAACATAAATTTTATGTTTAATATAAAAATGGCACTATTCACAAAATATGAAACCCTTCCAAAAATTGAAATCCATCTGCAATAGTAAGTTTTTTCCAGTTTTATTGAGATAATTTACATATAACCACTGTAAGTTTTTTAAAGCTTCATGTCAAATGTAGCTATTTTTCCACCCATCATTTTTTAGAGTGCTTCAATGCTCTTTACATCAATGATTTCTGTTCTATTTTTTGGTAATCAATATATTAAGTGTCACAAAATTCTCCAATAAAGTATTTTTAACTCACAGTATATGTGCCAATCTATTTACATTTTTTTCTTACAGGAATTTTCAAACATACACAAAAGATGACAGTATGATGAACCATCTTATTATTCATTACTCAGGATCAACTACCAATCTAATTTTAGGAAGAAGAGTATGCTATGAAAAAAAAAATCAAACATATAACAAAAGAGAGTTCAGGGGCCAGCCTGGTGGCACAGCAGTCAAGTTCGCACGTTCCACTTCGGCAGCCCAGGGTTCGCCGGTTCAGATCCCGGGTGCGGACATGGCACCACTTGGTAAGCCATGCTGTGGTAGGTGTCCCACATATAAAAAGTAGAGGAAGATGGGCACGGATGTTAGGTCGGGGCCAGTCTTCCTCAGCAAAAAGAGGAGGACTCGCGGCAGATGTTAGCTCAGGGCTAATCTTCCTCAAAAAAAAAATAGTTTTTTTAAAGCAACAAAATCCCTTTTACCAATGAAATCTTACATAAGAGAAAACCCAACATATAAAATAGACTTTTAAAAAGTCCAGTGAATCTAACTGAAATGATGACCAAGGACACAGGACCACTTGGCCTCCTTCCATTACATTCACACACAAGCCTTTGCCAACACGTGAGGCAGGGACCGAACATCCTAAAAGACTAGCCGTGTGGTTTCCTGATGTACACAGTGCTGATCACCACATGGTGGCACCTTGTAACTCTTATGGAGGCAATGTGGTACTCAAGGTACAAGCTCTGAGGGGGGATTACGGGGGCTAGGATCCTGGCCCCAAAGCTCATCTGAATGACTTTTGGCAAATTAGCCTCTGTCCCTAAATGTCCTCATCTGTAAAACAGGATAACAGTAGTTTCCCATTGTGAGGATCCAATAAGACAACATGTATAATGCCTATAGCAGAATGCCTAGCACATACTAGCACTTAAGAAATGTTAACCATAACTACATTTTTTATTTAATTAGAACATTCTCTCAACTCATCACTTAATGACTATTAGAGAACTAGAAACTGAGGTGTAACATTTGCCCAAGCTCAGGAACTCATAGCAAAAATAGGTTAAGACTTTCGGTTCTAACTTTAAACAAACACCATATTTAATTATGTTTCTAATATGACAGCAAATGACTATTTAAACTGATATTTTTCATTTGTTCATGAATTAGTTACATAATGCATTGTGCAAAGAAGTGGTTCATCCATTCATACCAGTCAGCCTGGGATAATGATTTCAGAGAACAGATTTTTAAGCCTGGCTTCCATGGACTATATCATGGTATAGTAGAAACAACAAGCAAATCCCAGCTCTAACACCAATAACTGTGTGGTAATGTCATTAAAATCTCTGTACGCCTTGGTTTTCTCACCTGATGATAACATGATATGCCAGATCATAGGGATGGTATAATGTTTAAATATAAATACAATGAAAAATGAGTTTTTAATAAAATGAAGTATATACAGTAGGTACGAAAAAGAACTTGTTTATTCACCCCCCCCACCCTTTCATTCTCTCAAGTTACAAATTCCCTGAGAAAATAAATTATGTCAAAATTGTCTGAACTGATTTTTCTTTACCATAAAGGCCTAATGACAAATCAAATATAATTCAATTCTATTTCTTACCTGGAAATGGATGCCTGGAAACTATCTCTTCTGGAAGTCCAAGTTCTCTGCCTAAAATTCTTACTTCATCTTTATGAAAATCTTTCAGAGGTTCTATTACTTTTCCCTACAGGGGGGAAAAGCTAATTAATACAAATTAGTAACCAAAGTGACAGAAAACAAAGAGCAACAAAGTACTGGCTCTTCCTGTAATCTTCTACCTTAGAGTAAACAATCATTTTTTAAAACTCCATCTTCTCAAGTATTTCCTCCTATGTGCTTATAAGTAATTAGATGAATATTTCAGTGATCTTATTTCTCTTTGAAACACATTTTAAACACAAACTTTTTAAGTATAAATAAATCAGAGCAAACCTACCCACCATTCTCTGATCCAGTTCTTATTAGAATACAAGGCAATTAGAAAATATCATATTGGTATATCAAAATTAAAACTCTCCAAAATAAAATACCATCAAGAAAGTAAAAAGACAACCCACAAAAGACAAATCATATATCTGATAAAGGACTTGTAACTAGAATATATAAAGAACACTTACAATTCAATAATAAAAAGATAAACAAACCAATTAGAAAATGGGCAAAAGAGCCAAATAGATATTTCTCCAAAGAAGAAACACAAATGGCCAATAAGCACATGAAAAGATGCTCAACATCATCAGCTATTAGGGAAATGTAAATCAAAACCACAATGAGGGGCAGGCCCTGTGCCCAAGTGGTTAAGTTCCCGCACTCCACTTCAGGGGCCCAGGGTTTCGCTGGTTCAGATCCTGGGTGCGAACATCACACCACTCATCAGGCCATGCTGAGGTGGTGTCCCATATGCCACAACTAGAAGGACCCACAACTAAACTATACAACTATGTACTGAGGGGATTTGGGGAGAAAAAGCGGGGGTGGGGGGGGGAAGATTGGCAACAGTTGTTAGCTCAGGTACCAATCTTTAAAAAAAAACCCACGATGAGATACCATTTCACATCCACGAGATACTTAAAATAAAAAGAGAGATAATTCACACCAATTAGGATGGCTATTACTGAAAAAATGAAATAGAAAGTGTTGGCAAGGTGTGGAGAAATTGGAACCCTTGTGCATTGTTGGTGGGATTGTAATATGGTATAACTGCTATGGAAACATTAAGGACATGCCTCAAAAAATTAAAAAGAGAACCACTATATAATCCAGCAATCTCATTTCTTGGTATATATCCAAAAGAAGTGAAAGCAGAGTCTCCAAGAGATATTTGCAAACTCATGTTCTTAGCAACATTATTCACAATAGTCAAATGGTGGAAGCAACCTAAATGTCCATACATGGATAAATGGATAAACAAAATGTGTATATACATACAATAGAGTATTATTCAGCCTTAAAAAGGAAGGAAATCCTGTCGCACGCTACAACATGGACAAACCTTGAGGACCTATGCTAAGTGAAATAAGCCAGTCACAAAAAGACACATACTATATGACCCTCATTTATAGGCGATACCTGAAACAGTCAAATCCATAAGAACAGAAAGCAGAGTGGTGGTTAGCAGGGGCTGAGGACTGGGAGAAGAGGGCAGCTGTTGTTCACTGGGAACAGACAATGCAAATACACTCAACACTACTGAACTGCACATTTAAAAACGGCCGAGGGAGGGAGGGAAGCTGTATGGACAAGTTCTCGTAAGCTTTACCTCTTCTCTCAACTTCCTGATAAGCTCTGTGTCATTGTGATGGGTTTTGATGAGTTCAGCTTTGCCACTTGCAACCAGGGATGCACTTTCAATTAGGTCAGGCCGTAAAGTGCCTTGGGCAAGGAAAACCTCCTCTGGTTTCAGGTTCATTTCTCCAATTACTTCATTAGCTATCTATAACCAACAGGAATAAAACAACCTTTTTAGAGACGAATCTTTAAAAATGACAGCAAAACTTCATACTTTCAGCAAAATTTCTCAGAGTCCTTTTACAATATTGACCAGGAGAGGAAACCCACCAATTCCCAAAATAAACTCCTTTAAGATCATACGCTTTAACACAATTCAAAAATGTATGCAAACATTCCCTTCAAGAGACCGAAAACTAGCCACTGAAATACGCAAAGAACTACAGTCTATTATCAAGTGAAAATACCCATTCTTAAACAGTTCCAACAATAGCCTGGCAATGTTAAGTATACATGTTTTTTAAAACATAGAACAGTTTCTACTGGTCAGTGTAACAGCAACATGCAGTAAAACTCTTAGCCAAAAAAACCAAATATGTACTACAATTCATATCAAAAATAGTACACATTGAGGATATTAAAAAGGTACCTTAACAAAAGTATCCCCAATGATTTTTCTCTTCTCCTCAGGACTTGTAGTCATATTTAACGTTTTGCTAATTCTTTTTCGTGGAGTTCTGTCTTCATCTGATATTGGCAGAGTTGTTGTTCCATTGTAGAAAGAATGAGCAGCATTTATCACTGGGGAAGAGAGAAGTACGTTTTAAACTAATATTTATGATTTTTTTAAAAATCTCCTAACAGGTCAAATTATAGAAAGAAAATCTAGATGGATTCTTTGATCTGCCCTTAATTTGCCTACATATTCCAGAACTACCCATAAACTACGACTAACTAGTCCAGACACAGGCTCTCGCTGACTTGCTCTGAGAATCCCGTGGCGCTTACTGAGCTCCAGCCACAATGCCGTAAATCAGCTGACTGCTTTCCCTCTTCTCTGCTCCAGCAGAGCAACAAGCAAAAGCTGCCATTAAGAAGCTCAGCCCCAAGGGAGTTGAAAGCAGCAGTTGACACACAGGGATCAAAGCCCTCAGAACTGCACATGACTAGTCTCTTGAAAAACTGATGTTTATGAACCTATATTTAGCGATCCTTGGCTATCCTTTTATATTTAAGATCAAGGTACTTAAAGACTGACTAAGATCTCTATTTGGTGGGCTTCACCGTAAGATGACAAGGCAGCTGGCTTTTTCACTGGGGGACCACCAGTGAATCTATAGGTCTTTCTCTTAGGTTGCTCAATTTCCTGAGAGAAGACACCACCAATCTCCTGCCTATCAGCACTCTGGTAGTTGAACGGAGGAAGTGGCAGGAGGGAGAGAGTCACCATTCAAGTACACAGATTTTTACTTAATCCTACTGTTTTTAATGTAAAATCCTACTTCCACCCTCAACTATGCCTGGTACTGGTACATTCAAGTCCAAAACCTCTCCATCTACCCTCTCTAGAAAATAAAGCCACAGTCTTCTGGTGGGGAAGGAGAGTGGTAGTTTGTTCCTGGGTTAAGGAAAAGGATCTGCTTCCCAGATTTTCAACTGATTTGTTTTAGGCTCACCCAGACAACCACGCCCCACAGGGAAGCCAACGCTTCCAATTCCCAAGCCCCCAGAACTCTTGCTCTCTGTTGCCTTCCTCCCCTCACCCCCACCCTAAGGTGTGGAGTCCTCCATTCTACTATGTCAGTTACCAGGGACAGAGGCTTTTGTGGGGTTGAAACTTACAATTTGGAGGCCCCCTTCCAGAAAACAGTAACAAATTTGGTTTTTAAAAATCACAATACTAGGATGGCTAACATGAACTTAACTCTACACAGAAATGACTGCAAATCACATGTATACCACTAAAGGTATCCCCAACTCAACTTCTTCTCAGCCTAATTCCAAAATGCCCATGGCCCTCTCAATATCACCCAACAGAGAGCAAGTGAGAATGAAAAGACAGTGAACTTCATTAACTACAAATTATTCAAGTATCTGACTTGCAAGTTTCATAAAAATATGTGACCGTGTGAAGACACTACTAGGGTCCTCCCAGGATTTTAGAAAAGGCTTGGCTAGTGAGGAGTCCTGAAACTTAAGCTGCATTAGCTTATCAGAAAAGATCTGCTCTATCCAGCTGCTTCCCCTTCCAACATCTTGCTGAAACCATCAGAGTGCTGTTACCTCCTCTATGCCCTGTCTTTGTGGCATCACACTTGTTACACCTGTACTGTTACTCTAGAGATGTTTCAAAAGGAGAAACAAACAGATTCGTCTTCACTTCATGTTTAACTACAAACGTTCGTTTTATACTCAACCTTTTGGCATCAATTCCAATTAATTCAATAATATGTATGGTTTGCATCACTAAACTACTGACTTGATTTCACTAAAACTACTGATTACACCTTTTTTTTTCACAAAGTTTAAAAGATATCCAGAAATGTAAATGCAGTGAAGGTCTAAGAAGTTTACTAGTGGCCTTAAAAATAAAAAAAGGACTAAAGACTCTTCACCCCTCTCCTCTGCATAAGCCTTTCTGTCTGTGAAATAATCTGTCTAGCTGCACCTGTTGTAGGAAAGGCTTGGATAGTCTCATGTATAAGTAATATGAAAGGTGGGGAAAACATAACTTAAAAAAAGAGAATGAGTAGAAGAGAATTAGAATGGTAACTTACTGATCTATAAATGACATTAGGAGTAATCAACAGTTTTAAAACTCATACTGGGATCACTCTTGAACCAGAAGTAATTATAATGTAGAAATAGAAACCAACGATGAGCTCTTTGGGAAAACTGTACTTGGTTAAGGCAGTGTGCTCACTTAAGCCCTAAGGCCAGATTTGATTAAACATCTCCTGACGTGTAAATTAACTTTTCTGGGGTTCATCAATACCTTTGACTTGAATTCCAAGCTTTTTGAGGGCCTCCTCTACAGACTGGCTTTCTCGTTTTCTCATAAAGCCATTATCAATGTGCACAGCAATGACTTGATCTTGGTTCAAAGCACGATTCAGCAAAGCTGTACAAACTGTGGAGTCTACTCCACCACTGAGTAAAACCTACAGGGCGAGATGAGAAGAAAAATCAAGCTGAGTACAATAAGCAAGAAGAAAATAAAAACTATCAGCTTAGGGGCTGGCCCCGTGGCCGAGTGGTTAAGTCCGCACGCTCCGCTGCAGGCAGCCCAGTGTTTCGTTGGTTCGAATCCTGGGCGTGGACATAGCACTGCTCATCAGACCACGCTGAGGCAGCGTCCCACATGCCACAACTAGAAGAACCCACAATGAAGAATATACAACTATGTACTGGGAGGCTTTGGGGAGAAAAAGGAAATAATAAAATCTTTAAAAAAAAAAAAAAAAACTATCAGCTTAAACCATTACCTAAAAACACTGTCTGTATCAAGGTATGTATGCTAACTGAAAGACACTCTGAAACAGCACAAGCCACAAGGCACACAGCCGCCCAGAACTGTCTGGCGGCTGTTGAGGAAGCCAGCTCTGATTCTAACATTATTGACATCAACTTGTAGACTTTCCAGTGGAGACTGCTTACCAACACTTTGGATGTGCCCACTCTCTCTCGGATCTCTCGAATGCACTCAAGCTCTCTGTTCTGCACGGTGAAGGTCCCACTGCACCCAGCTATATCATACAGGAAATTCTTCAGTATTACTTTCCCATTTTCTGTGAGGCCAACTTCAGGGTGGAACTGTGCTCCATATAATTTTTTAGATTCATTTGCTATACCTTTATAGAGAAAACAATCACAAATTAAAGTTTCTTCATGTTGAAAAGACTCAACCACAGTAACTCCTCACAATTTCTTCTTCTATAAACGTGAAAACTGATGTGAATTAGTGGATTTTTAGCTAAAGGAAAAAAAACACCTATTACAAATAAAAGCTACACTGCCATGAACTTTCTTTGTAAAGGTCTTTCTTCATGTAGCAATTAATGAACTATATGAAGTGAAATAAACCCTACAGAGATTACTTCATAGTACCCTCACTTTCCACCCAGTCTACTTCAACTATCTCATCTATCTAATTCAATGAAAACTCAATTTTGTTTCTTGATCCCACACGGCTTTCACCTGAAATGTGCAGCTTCCAGTTTTCTGTATTAGAAGAACCCCATACATTACACCGGTCAGAATATCCTAAGTGTTTCTTAGAACTCACTGGCTTGACTAATATGGTTCTGAGAAATTACTGATTATCTACTGAGCAGCAGATGCTGGGCTAGATGTTTTACACGTGCAACTGTTACTCTGTTCAAGGCTCTGAGATATCAAGAATCCTGCCTGAACTGGCAGCTAGTTCAGGAGTTAAATCAGGCCTGTCAGGCTCCCAAACCCACACCCATTCTACTACACCAGGGAACCTCACACTTTCTTACTTGGCTTCTAAGACATCAGTCTCATTTCATTTCTTATTTCATTGTCTGCTCCTTCTGAATCAGCTTTGTCGGTTCCTCCTCCTATTATCCATCTCTACATATGAAAAGTCACTCAGTATTCAGTAATTAAATCTCTTCTCTATACATCACGAGTCATCTCAAATTCTCATGACCTTAAATTTTACCCATATGTTGATAACCCTCAAATTTGTACCTCCAGCCCAGTTTTCTCCTCTACATCCCTGGTTCACACATATAATCGCCCACTCACACCTTCATTTCAATGTTTAATAAGGCACCATCAATTTAATATGCAAACCCAGACTCCTGCATTCTTTCCCATCAGGTAAACAGAAACTTCATCCTTCTGGTTACCTGGGCCAAAACACTCAGGAGTTAAAACTTGATTCTATTCTCTCTTCCCCACTCCACATGCAATCCAATAGTCAATCCCTTGTCTCTCCCTTCAAAACATATCAGAATCCAACCTAACCTCGGTTTCCAATCCAGCACTGGATTGGAAGGAAGCTGGGACATCACCCTGCCCTAACAACAAGTGAAAGCTGACCACTGCCCTTGGAGAGACCAACAGGTGAACACAGAGAACCCCAACTCTCCGGAGCAGAGACCCATGAGGACAAACCTCCATAGAAACACTGCTGAGGCAGGAAAGCCTGAACTTTAAGTGACAAATTGCTGGAGGCTCAGTATGGACCAATCTGAGAGACAAAAACTCCAGGAGGACACAGGCATCAGGGGCACCCACCCTTTTATGAATTTTATCTCCAGTAGCCTGACCAAGTTCTCCCAGTGAATACTAGAGAAAAATCCCCTCATGGTTCCAACAGGTGGAGGGTTAGGGTTAGGAACCGTTCTGAAATACACTAGACCATTCTGTTCTTCTTAACAAGGTGTCCTCATGAGAGAAACTATTTAACCAGCCTAACTGACCTAGGAGAAGTGCAATAGCCAACTTCAGCCCACTCTAGTCATCCTGTCCCATCTAACGGGGGGAAAAAGCTGAGGAGCACTTGTGAAGTCCATAGCCCAGGGCCCCAGGCTCACGAAGACACTGAGCCCTACTCATAAGACTATGGAACACTGCCCCCACACACACCCCTCACCATCACATACTTAAAGGCCTATTTACAGCAATTCCTTTTACCCACTACATCATGTCTGGATACCAACAAAAAACTATGAGGCATACCAAAAGGCAAAAAATACCATCTGAAGAGAGAGAGCAAGCATCAGAACCAGACTCTGATATAACAGGGATGTGGGAATTATCAGACCAGGAATTTAAAACAACTGTGATCAAGGAGCCAAGGGCTCTAATGGACAAAGCAGACAGCATGCAAGAACAGATGGGGAGAGTGAGCAGAGAACTGGAAACCCTAAGAGGCACCAAAAAGAAATGCTAGCATCACAAACAGTGTAACAGAAATGAAGAGTGCCTTTCATGGACTTAGTAGTAGACTGGACGTGGACAAGGAAATAATCTCTAAGCTAGAGGATATCTCAATAGAAATGGCCAAAACTGAAAATGAAAAAGGAAAAAACAGAATATCAAAGAATTGTGGGACAAGTACAAAACGTGTAACATATGCATAATGGAAATTCCAGATGGAGAAGAAAGAGAAAGGAACAGAAGAAATATTTGAAACAATAATAAATGAGAATTTTCCCAAATTAATGTCAGACACCAAACCACAGATCCAGAATCTTAGAAAACACTGAGTAGAATAAATACAAAAAAAATTACACCTAGGCATATCATTTTCAAACTACAGAAAATCAAAGATAAAGAAAAATCTTGAAAGAAGCAAGAGGAAATAAACACCTTACCTATAGAGGAGCGAGGATAAGAATTATATCCGGCTTCTCAGAAACCATGGAAAGCAGAAGAGAATGTAGTGAAATATTTAAAATGTTGAGAGAAATAAACATTCTTCTTAAGCGTACATGGAACATTCTCCAGAATAAATCATAACGTTCGGCCACAAAACAAATTTAAGAAGATTAAAATCATATCAAGCACCTTTTCCAAGCACAATGTTATGAAACTAGAAATCAATTACAAGAAGAAAACTGGAAAATTCACAAATAGGTGGATATTAAGCAACATGCTCATGAAAAACCAATGGGTCACAGAAGAAATCAAAAGAAACTTAAAAAATCTTGAGATAAATAAAAATGGAAATAACCAAAACTCATGGGATGCAGCAAAAGCCATTCTAAGAAGGAAGGCTATAGTGATAAACGCCTGCATCAAGAAAAAAGATCTCAAACAACCTAACTTTATACTTCAAGGAACCAGAAAAAGAACAAACTAAGCCCAAAGTTGATACAAGGAAGAAAATTAAAAAGATCAGAGCACAAATAAACGAAAGAGACTAAAAAGACAAAAGAAAAAATCAATGGCACTAAGAGCTGGGTTTTGAAAAGATAAACAAAATAGACAAAACTTTAGCCAGATTTACCAAGGAAAAAAAGGAGAGGACTCAAGTAAATAAAATTATAAATGAAAGGAAACATTACAACTTGTACCACACAAATATGAAGGATCGTAAGAGACTACTATGAACTATTATTTGCCAACAAAATGGACAACCTAGAAGAAATGTGATAAATTCCTAGAAACACGTAACCTACCAGGACTAAATCATGAAGAAATAGAAAATCTGAATGGACTAATTACAAGTAAGGAGACTGAATCAGTAATCAAAAACCCTGCAACAAAATAAAGTGCAACACCAGATCGCTTCACTGGCAAATTCTACAAAACATTTAAAAAAGAACGAACACCAACCCTTACTGAACTCTTCCAAAAAACAGAAGAGGAGGGAACACTTCCAAACCCATTCTATGTGGTCAGCAAGCCTGATACCCAAGTGAGACAAGGACACTACAAGAAAACAAAGTTACAGGGGCCGGCCCCATGGCTGAGTGGTCGAGTTTGCACCCTCCACTTAAGAGGCCCAGGGTTTTGCTGGTTTGGATCCTGGGCATAGACATGGTACTGCTCATCAGGACATGCTGGGGTGGCATCCCACATAGCACAGCCAAAAGGACCTACAACTAGAATATACAACTATGTACTGGGGGCTTTGGGGAGAAGAAGAGAAAAAACATTGGCAACAGATGTTAGCTCAGGTGCCAATCTAAAAACAAAAGAAAACAAAACAGTTACAAGCCAATATCCCTGATGAACACAGACACAAAAATCCTTAACAAAATATTAACAAACAGAATTCAACAATACATTAAAAGGATCATATACCATGACCAAGTAGAGCTTATAACAGGGATGAGAAGATGGTTCAACATCCACAAATCAATGTACACCACATTAACAAAATGAAGGGTAAAAATTGTATGCTCATCTCAATAGATGCAGACAAAGCATTAGAGAAAATTCAACATCCATTCATGATCAAAACTCTCACCAAAGTGGGTACAGAGGGAACATATTTCAACATCATAAAGGCCATACAGGACTAACCCACAGTTAACATCATATTCAATGGTCAAGAGCTCTAAGATCAGGAACAAGACAAGGATGCCCACTCTGGCTACTTTTATCCAACATAGTACTGGAAATCCTAGTCACAGCAATCAGGCAAGGAAAAGAAAAGAAAGGTCTCCAAGTCAGAAAATAAGAAGTAAAATTGTCTCTATTTGCAGATGACATGATATCATATAGAAAACCCTAAAGGCTCCACCAAAAAAACTTAACTAACAAATGATTTCAGTAAGGTTGCAGGACAGAAAAATCAACATACAGAAATCAGTTGTGTTTTTATATACCAAAAACGAACTATTAGAAAGAGAAATTAAGAAAACATTCCCATTTACAATAGCATGAAAAAGAATAAAATACTTAGGAATAAATTTAACCAAGGAGGTAAAAGACTTGTACACTGAAAACTATGATACTGATGAAAGAAACTGAAGAAGGCACAAATAAACAGAAAGATATTCCACGTTCATGGATGGAAGAATTAATATTGTTAAAATGTCCCTTCTACCCAAAGCAATCTACAGTATCAATTCAACTCTATCAAATTTCAATGGCTTTTTCAGAGAAAGAGAAACAACTCTAAAATTGCTTGGAACCACAAAAGCTCCCAAATAACCAAAGCAATCTTGAGAAAGAACAAAGCTGGAGGCATCACACTTCCTGATTTCAAAGCTATATTATGAAGCTATAGTAATCAAAACAGTATGGTACTGACACAAAAACAGACACATGGTCCAATGGAATAGAACTGAGAGCCCAGAAAATAAGCCCACGCATATATGATCAATTAATTTACAACAAAGGAGCCAGGAAAATACAATAGGGAAAGAACAGTCTCTTCAATAAATGGTGTTGGGAAAGCTGGACAGCCACATGCAAAAGAATGAAACTGGATCCCTACATTACACCATATACAAAATTCAACTCAGAATGGATTAAATACTAAAACGTAAAACCTTGAAATCATAAAACTCCTAGAAAAGTTCCTTGACAATGGCCTTGGCAATGATTTTTTGGATTTGACACCAAAAGCAAAGGCAACAAAAGCAGAACTGAACTAAAAAGTTTCTGCACATCAAAGAATACCATCAACAAAAAGAAAAGACAACCTATGGATTGGGAGAAAATATTTGCAAACTACAGAGCCAAGAAGAGGTTAATAGCCAATATATACAAGGAATTCATATAACTCAACAGCAAAAAACACAAATAACTCAATTAAAAAATGGGCAAAGTACCTGAATAGACATTTTTCCAAAGACCTACAAATGGCCAACAGGTACATAAAAAGGTGATCAACATCACTAATCATCAGGCAAATGCAAATCAAACTCACAATGACATACCACCTCACAGCTACTAGGACTTCTATTATCAAAAAGACAAGATAACAGGACCCAGGCCAGTGGCTTAGTGGTTAAGTTTGCACACTCCACTTTGGTGGCCTGGGGTTCACAGGTTCAGTTCCGGGCTGAGCACCTACATACTGCTCATCAAGCCGTGCTGAGGAGGCATCCCAAAGAGAAGAACTAGAATGACTTACAACTAGGATATACAACTATGTAATAGGGTTTTGGGGAGAAAAAAAGAAAAAAAAAGAGGAAAATTGGCAACAGATGCTAGCTCAGGGCCAATCTTCCAAAAAGAAAAAAGAAGAAAGAAACTAGCCACTGATTTGAAAAACCTGTGATTGTTTAAAAAGAAAAAACATAAGCCCATCTACCACTGTCGATGTTTTATATAAAGTAAAAACTTTTCAATATGAAAACCATTCTTGATAATTCCTGTGCTAATGTATTAGTCTGTTAAGTAATTGCAGGCAGATTATTCAATTCAGTTTATCCATGACAAATCTTTTTCAACTTATTATTTAGGTGTGGCATTTCAAACAAGAACTTTATTGATAAATCCACTTTTTTCCTTTACTGATTTCCAGGATTAATGTTGCTTATATACATTACAATTATTTAAGCAAACAAGCCAAAATCACAAACTGCAAGAAAATCAGGGGCCACCCTGTGGCCGAGTGGTTAAGTTGCCACGCTACACTTCGGCAGCCCAGGGTTTTTGCTAGTTCAGATCCTGGACACGGACATGGCACCACTCATCAAGCCATGCTGAGGCAGCATCCCACATAGGACAACCAGAAGGATCTACAACTAAAATATACAACTATGTACTGGGGGGCTTTGGAGAGAAAAGAAAGAAAAGAAAAAAAAAAGATTGGCAACAGATGTTAGCTCAAGGTGCCAATCTTAAAAAAAAAAAAAACATCAATTCCTCTTCCTCAAAACAGTAGAGAACAAAACAATTTAGAGCATAGATTGGCAAACTTCCTAAAAAGGCCTAGAAAGTAAAAATTTTAGGCTTTGTGGGGCACATACACAGTCTCTGTCTTTTATTATAACCCTTGAATAATGTAAGTATCATTCTTAGTTCCTGCACATGAAAAAACAGGCTACAGGCTGGGTGCAAGCCACAGGCCAGAGTTTGCCAATCCAGAATCAGAGAGGTGTCCTGGGGTCTCAGTCTGGTGTTCTGCAGGTGTCCCAAGACACCTGCCCATATTCACCCAAGAAAGGAAGAAAAGGCAACCATAAATACGGCATGCGAGAAAGACAGACAGTTCTCAAATTTTTCTTCAGTTGTAGTAGCTGTATTTTATGTCTGAAAAACTTACATTAGAGAGAATATTTTAGAAAGTATTTTAGAGCAAACTATTCAGTGACTTCTAGATAATCCTAATATTAAATTCTCTTCATAAATTAATGGTTGAGCCTATCACATTTACAATATCTTTAAAAAATAAGTCAAAAACAGTACCTCATACAGAAACATATGCTTAGACTCTTCAGATACACATTCAAAAACGAAATCTGCAGAAGTTTTAGAATTTTCACCTGCCACAATGTTCCCAGAACGTGCCACAACCTTGAATCCATCGGCTACTTTGTCTACGCTATCTCCATGGGTAAGCAAAACAATCTCTTCCTTCTGAAGGCCCCTAAACATACAAAAAAATAAAACACAACACACAGATCTCTTAATTAAACACACGATTAATGGATTCTTTTGCTTCTTATCCCCAGCTTAATGAGCTATAACTGACATATAACATGGTGTGAGTTTAAGGTGTACAACATGATCTGATACACGTATATATTGTGAAATGATTATCACAAGAAGGTTTGTTCAGCACTTCCATCACCTCACACAGTTACACATTTTTGGTGTGGTGAGAACATTGAACATCCACTCTCTCAGCAACTTTCAAGTACACAATCCACTGGGGTCACCAGGCTGTACATTAGATCCCCAGGACTTATTCCTCCTATAATTGGACATTTGTTCTTTTGCTTTAGATACACTAGCTCGTCATATGTGTAGATCAAGAAAACAGAAACAGCATGTAATAGTGCAACACTGCTGGAATTTATATTTGCTCTATCCATTATAAAGCCACTGAAAGAATATTAAATCTCAAAAAAGGCAATCCATAAAAACTGAAAACAAATATATAAAGTTGGTAGTATAACCACACACACAAATATAATTTCAAGAGGCTATAAAATTTCAACATTATATCTTTATTAGGATTCATCTTAAGAACAGAAGAAATTAATGGCATCGATGCAAACATATTTAAGTAACATTAATCAAATGCAACATGTGGACTTTCTCTCAACCCTGATTCAAACAAATCAACCATAAAAAGACATTTTTACATTATGGGAAAATCTGAATGAGCACTTGATATTAAATAATATTAAGAAATAAAAAATTAAAAATAAAGCAAGAAGATAAAGTACATTAAAGCCAAAAGGATGTTTTGGGGTTCTTGCTGTCATCACTGCTATTTAGGATTAGTGTAGGGTATGAGTGAGTCCCAAACTTTTAGAACTAGAAAGACAGAAAACTTTAAATCTCAACCAGATCTCGCAGCAGCACATACCACCAGCAAGGTTCCTGAAGCAGTTCTCAAGAGCAGTCACCTGAGACACAGACGAACGTGCACAACAGCTCTCCCTCAGGAGGTGGAGCAAGCACTGGACTGCAAACACTACTGGGCTTCAGTTCATAGAAGTATTTTGAGCAACTGTGGCTTTTTAAATTAATCTCCATTGAAAAATGAGAATATTTGAACACAGATACACTTATCTTTACTCTTCCTCAATAAAGCCAGCCACAGCCACTTTTGTGTAAAAACTGGGATTATAACTCCTTTTTAGATAAAAATAAGTTCATAACTTGGATTTTTAAATTTATGATCTGTTCAATTTGGAGAAAACTATTCATTAAGAATTAATTTAGGGGCCAGCCCCAGTTGCCTAGTGGTTAAATTCAGCAGGCTCCACTCCAGTGGCCTGGGTTCAGCTCCCAGCTGCAGACCTACACCCAACTCTGTTAGCAGCCATGCTGCGCTGACAGCCCACAGAGTTTAAAAAAAAAAAAAAAGAGGAAGATTGGCATGGATGGATGTTTGCTCAGGGCAAATCTTTCTCAGCAAAAAAAAAAAAAACAATAATTTAGGCATAAGTCAATGAAGCCTTTAAGAATACGTGTTAATAAACAAAACAAACCTGCAACTAAAAATAGCAGTTAAAAGGAATAATAAAAATAATCACACATGCTCATTAGTTGACATCACCCTGCATTTTACAGATTTAACACAGTTAGGGTGAAATGTGATTTTAAAATAAAAACAACATTTTGGTCAAAATGAAGCAAGTAAGTAACTCTACCAATAGTCCACCAAAATGGGCTCTATCCAAAACAGGGGAAAACTACCCCCCAAAACGCAAATAATCAAAACATAAGTTTTCTGGTCTTCCCGAAAAACGAATGAAAATTCAGGGATTTTTTTTTTTTTTTTCAGTAACACAGAAGATAAACAATTCTAGGAAGCTACTGAACAGCTCATTCACCAATTTTTAAACAGATTACAGCTACAGCACCAAATCTACTGTCATCCAGAAACAAAATTAATCAATACATTCACTGTTAAAGACCGTGCTCCAGCTACCATCACGCTCAGGTACAGCAGAGGAAGTGAGGAGGAGGGAAATACAACACATACTCAGTAATGAATCCAACAGATGGGCAGCAAGATGTGGTGGGGGAAGAGGAAGACAATGCATCTGGTAGATGCAGGACAGTTTAAAACACTGTCCATTTCCCACATCTGGCACACTAACATTTAGAATCACACACCACCCAAGAGTGAAAAGGGGAAAGCAGAAAGGCTGGCATCACAATGTGCAATTCCACAGAAGACTGCACAGGTGCTTTCAAATGATGTCCCAAGTGCTTTCCTCACTCCTAACTAGTGTCACTACCTTCCTCTGCTGTCCTGACACTCAAATGGAAGACAAATATGACAATTACACCCTTGGCCACTGTGGCCTTAATTTTGTCTAAGAATTACAGATTCTCCAATATTGAAGACCAACAGTCCCAACTTTAAATTGGTCTACTACTATTCGTATTCATTTAAAAATATCTATAATACCTGAATAATGAACATGTGTTATCCACACTAATACTGAAGACTCCATCTTCTCTAACACTTTTTTTGTGCACAGTACCTCCAAATACCTTATTCATCATCTGTTCAAAGAGAAAATAAATTGATGTTAACATAAATCAAAATAAAATTATCCAATTATTTTCTTATGCTAATTTAACAATTTACATTCCTCGTTTTTCAAGATATGTTATGTCTATGCCCCCAAAAGGGGGGGAGTTAGATAAATGTAGCTAACTTGATATTATTATATACAATTACAGTTATTAAGAGGGACAGTCATAAAACAAAACTATATTAGAAATCTGACCTGATTTTAATTTCTTTTAAACACTGGCAGATTTTCCATTTAGTGTACTTTAATTAATTCATTTGTTAAAAAGACATTTCTTTAATACTTACATCTGAGTTTAATCTACAAGAATTTTAAAAGGTACCTTGAGCTTAGAAAGAGCTGGAGTAGACAACAAGAACAGCTGTGATATTAAAACTAGACAGGTATAAATTCTTCCACACTATTTAATCTTTGGCCCCCAAAGGAATAGTCGAAAGCCTGCAGAGGGCTGTGCTGTGGAAACAGGATGAGCAAGGAAATCTGGTTCCTTCAATTAAACTTGTTTGTTCAAATCCCATATACATACAGACTCTCATTCCAAATGGTCTGTTCATTCTGCTCCTCCTTCTGTCAATCAATCATCATTTCCTATTTATCATTTACATATGCCCAAACCCTCTGCAACATCAAATACATACCCACAAGATTTTTACAAACATTAAATCTGCGGGGGGTTTGGGCATATGTAAATGATAAATAGGAAAAGATGATTGGGGACAGCCCAGTGGCACAGCATTTAAGTGCGCACGTTCCGTTTCGGAGGCCTGGGGTTCACCAGTTCGGATCCCAGGTGCGGACATGGCACCACATGGCAAGCCACGTTGTGGTAGGCATCCCACATATAAAGTAGAGGAAGATGGGCATTGATGTTAGCTCAGGGCCAGTCTTCCTCAGCAAAAAGAGGATTGGCAGCAGATGTTAGCTCAAGGCTAATCCTCCTCAAAACAAACAAAAAATATAATAAAATGAAATAAATAAATAAAATAAATCTGCACAGATACTACAACTCATCTCAGTATGTCTGTTCTACGACAGGTGTCATAAGGTATCTGCCATAACAATGCATGATGCAGGTTGACCTAGCCTCCAACAGAAAAGCAGGCAGAAGGCCAGATAAATGTTCATTCATGTGCAGTGGCATTTTCTTCAAAACCATCAGCAAATGCTGCCCTCTACATTCTCCTCTTAGACATTCACAATAAACCTACCAGAAATAAAGGTCTGTGTTACATTCAGCAGGAAAGAAACTTGCTAACCCTTGTTTGACCCAGTATTTCCCAAGCTAAAGACTCAGACATACGACACTTTCTGCAGCAGGTAACTGACATGCAGTTTGGGAAACACTGCATGATAAGGAGTCCCCTTGCCTCTGGTCTTGCCCAGCCTGCAGCCTATATGCTAGAGATCCATGAATGCCAGCTATGAAAACATAAACAGGCCAGTGTTAGTGAGTGATTAAACCCTTCAATGGCTCTCTGGCACCTACAGCAAGGGTTGGTAAATTTTTTCTGTAAACGGCTGAAGAGTAATTATTTTAGCCTTTGCAGGTCCCACCATCTTTGGAGCAACTATTCAACTCTTGCCAATGTAGCACAAAATCATCCAGAGATAATACTTGAATGGATGTGGTGGTGTTCCAATAAAAAACTTTATGGACTCTGAAATTTGAATTTCATTTCATTTTCACGTCATAAAATATAATTCTTTAAAAAAATTCTTTCCAACTTTAACCATTTAAAAGAGTAAAAACTATTCTTAGCCTACAGGCCATACAAAAAGAGGCAGCAGACCATGGTTTGCCGACACCTTGTCTATACGATAAAGCCCAAGTCCCTTATACTGAACAAAAACTCTGTCTAATTTCACTTCTCACCTCCCCCTCATGCTCTACTCCAGCCATTCAAGTTTGTGGGTAATCACAAACCGACCACATTCTCTTCTCGTCTTCAGGTCTCTTTAGCCCCAGGGGCCTAAGAAAGTATGTGACCCAGAGCAGTCATTCAAATTCGCTGAATGAAAAATGAATGTTCTCCTCTAGTATATGAAGTATATACCTAGCATATACATGAAGCCTGTGCAACTCTGCCTCCCCTAATTTGCAGTTCTTAATCAGAAGACAGCTGAATGATCAAGACAACCAAAGCTGTTGGGACTCTATACAATTTCAAAGTCCACAAAGTCTAAATCAAAGGCTTTTACAAGGCCAAGAGCTTGCAGTAAAATTTAAAGCTATCTCACCTGTTCAGAAAGCTTTCCCGCTTCTATTCAGTTCCTGACTATGCTGCAATCAGCTAAGTGTGTGTTTGTGGAAAGAGGGGATAAGTTCACATGTAATAAAACAGTTTACTTTGTTGAATTCTTGTTTTAATATTCTATTTGACTTAAGGAAATGGTTTTCATTATGGATTCCCGATAACCCCAAGGTCCTAAAAGCCTCAAAGAAACCCACGCAGCACTCCCAGTCCACCATCCCAACCAGATCAGCTCCTCCTCCATCTGTCTTATATGCCAAGGTTTTATAATAGGTTTAGATTTGGGAAGGAGAACAGGAAAGAAAGTATGCCAATAAAAATAATTTGACAAAACCTTGTGGGAGTAGATAGAGAAACCAAACATTTGTAATAAAGATGTTTCTTAGGATGCTAAAGAGCAAAGAGACAAGTCACAATCTAGAAGGTTATCTGCAATACATATAAACTGACAAAAGTTTAGTATCCAGCATACATAAACGCAATAAAAAAAAAAATACAAGGGCCAGCCCAGTGACGTAGTGGTTAGGTATGAGTACTCTGCTTCAGCAGTTTGGGGTTCGCAGGTTCAAATCCCAAGGACGGACCTACACACCACTCATCAAGCCATGCTGTGGTGGCATCCCACATAAAAAGTAGAGGAAGATTGGCAACAGATGTTAGCTCAGGACCAATCTTCCTCACCAACAAAAAATAAAAATAAATTTAAAAAATTTCAATACAAAAATGAGCAAAAATCACAAGCAAGCTTTTAAAGTAAAGAAGACACTAATGGCAAATAAATATACAAACCTTCCAATTATAAGAAAAATGACCATCAAGATTACAGTGTGATCCCATTTAACACCTCTTCAGAAAGACAAAAAAAGAAGAAAAATCTCACCATGTCAATACTTCACAGGGATACAGAGCAGAGGGAATTTTTATATACTGCTGTTGGAATGTAGATTGGGGGTAAATATCATCACTTAGTGAAGTTGAGATACAGCATTTTAAACCATGGTTACCCAAGAAAAAAGTCTGTGTATGTACAACACGAGAAGACAAGTACAAAAATAATTGTAGCAGTATTATCTGTAACAGCAAAAAAACTGGAGAAAGACCAGCAATACCAACAATGGAATGTATAATTAATTTGTGCTATATTCAAACAATAAAATTCAGTAGTGAAAATGAATAACTTACAATTAAATGTATTAACATGAATGAATCTCAAAACCAAAGCTGAAATTAATACACACAGTATGATTTTATTTATATAAAGATCAATGAGCAAAACTAAATAACATTATTTAGGAATATAAACATACATATAAAGCTATAAAGAAAAGAAAGGGAATAAACAACAAAATTCAGAAAAAGTGTTAGCCCAAGAATCTGAGCAAAGAAAAATATAAAGAGAGTTTCAAAAGTTGTAATATCCTACTTCTTATGCTGAATTGGGGGTAAATCAGTGAGAGAACAGGAGCAGTGAGCAGGACAGACTTTTTTCTTCTAGGGCAAAGAACTACCAGGAAGCAGTTAGAAAGGCTCTGACAAGAGAGACCACTTCTCAGAGAAAGATGGCACGTAGACACTGAAATTACCGAAATTTCAGGACACCAGAGGGGGCAAAGGCACATCCTCAAGTGAGACCTTTAGTGCCAAAATTACCCAACTAATCATCACTAAGAAGTGGCAGTCCTTCACCAATAGCAATACTTTATGGAAAGACAATAATTTCTACCCAAAGGACCAAGATCAGCCTATTCTGTTATCCTACTATGAAAGTTCAGATGGCACAAAGGCAAAATTTTTTATGCATTTCACATGAGCAGGCCCGCCTCTGGCTACCATAAGATCCCTATTCAATGACAGAAAAATCTGGCCTTACAATTATACAGGGGACCAACATAATGGTCAAGCAGCCACTATCACTTAAATTAAGGAAGCATCTTCCAGATCTATTGCACTATAAGTGGGTCCTAAAAAATACCCTTGTGAGACTCTTCCTTAGAGAATGTTATATAGTGCTTCACAATACACTAAAAACCATTCAACTTAAACTTCTGCTATAGGATTAATACTGACTACTCTGGTTAAGAGTCAATAAATTACATAAATACATTACATTCTGGGAAAAAGGTATATTTAAAAAAAAAGTCAGACAATTTCCAATGTTCACCTCAATTGGGATGCAGGCTCTTCTAAGAAAATACATTCGTTAGAATACGCAGTGGAAAAAGTCTAAAAGTAAGTTACTATCCAAGTCAAATTCACAATCACCATTTGGCTTTTTGGAGAACACTAACAGGGGGAAAAGACCCTTTTACTATAAAATGCTTGTTTCTAGATAAGAAAATATCCCTTATTGTAGATTTTGTACTTTACATATTTTTAGTGACCAGTATTTCCTCTAAATCAAAGTGGAAAACAACAATCAATTAGCAAGAAATGAAATCAGATAGAGCTGTTTTACACACGAGTGATTTCTAATATTCTGCTCTTGTATCAAGAAAAGGAATAATAAAAATATTCGCATTCTTATGTGAACACTGATTGATATTTCTTGCCTTCACTGAAAGCTCCCGAGTCAGCTGGAAGAAAATCTATTGGTCCGTTCACTTTCTACCTTTCAAACAGCTTCCCTCTGTGCAATACTCCTATTAAAGCACAATAGTTTCAACCAGGTTGTTTAAAAAAGAAAGAAACTCATTCTGTTTTGCCCACTTACCAAAATTTTAAATTATCCCCAATCCAAAGACTTAAAACAACTCAGTCAGTGGGAGAAAGAATGCAACATCTTTACTATTAAGCCATACGTGCAAGAAATTGAAAATTAACAGGTAATTCTCAATAAAAATTAGGGAGGACCAGAATATCACGAGGGAATTAAAAAGCTGATATTTTAGTTAACACAATTCCATTTTGGCTAATTAGGATCTCACACATCAATTTCACTTGTATTCTGACCCTGTCTTCCCTTTCACTTCAGTACGTGCTAAAGTCAAACAGGAGGCAGAAGGGAAAAAGAGTTCAAGCTAACGCACAAACATGTGAATCCACAGCACTACATTTATCTGGCTATTCCTATCATGGCAGAAAATTCTGAGTTTATAAAAAAAAAAGTATCCTGCTTCCGACACTAGAAAAGGCAAAATACTGTAACATATCAGTTAATAATATTATTATATTACTCAGGGAATACTTCCCAGCTAACCCAATTTTCAGGTGATCTGGTTAAATAAGATAAATTGTTAAAAATTTTCTCAACTAGAAAATCATTTTGCTTACAATCACCATGGATAACTTTCCTTAAATTTTTACTCATATCCCCACCTCCTTAGTAAATAGATCTTAGTGAATAAATCATTCTTTCATAAGTGAGAATTTAGCATTTATTGGCTCAGTATTATCTTTCTATCATCTATTCAATAATCACATTCTACTTGTCTGGTAAACCTACACTACTTAAAAATAAAGTAAGCACAACAGCCAAAATAGATTTCTAAACATTTAACTCATAGAAGAAGAGCTCAACTCAAGACCTCAGTTAGTCCCTATTTATTCTTGCTTTTGATATAACTCCAAGATACATACTTATTAACAAACATTACCATGGAGACACCTCGCAGACACCACCTTAACCAAATGATCAATATAAACATCACATATCATGGCACAAATCAACACTGTGTGCTCCCTAACAAGGAACTCTGAAAACAGCTCAGCAGCACTTCCGTCCTCCTGCCAGAAACACAGAACCGGAACCTAAGAATGAGGGAACATCAAACCAACCAAAACTGAGCAATGTTCCACAATGTAAATGACATGTACTTTTTTTTTAACTGTCAAGGTCATGAAAGGGAAGGAAAGATTAAGGAATGGTTCCAAACCAAAGGAATCTAAACAGACAAGAAAACTAAATACAACACATGGTCCTGGATCGGATCTAGGACTTAGAAAGGACATTAACGAGACAAACAATGAAAAGCGCACAGTCTGTGGACAGATGCTAACACTGAATCAATGCTAACTTCCCGATTTTGACAGTTGTACTATGGTTATGCAGGAGAGAGTCCTAGTACTTAGGTAATACAACAAGCAATAGGACACCATATCTGCAACTTACCCTCAAACAGTTAAAAATGCCAAGACTCAGGAAACTGAATAAAAGTACACAGGAGCTCTGCATAGTATTTCTGTACCTTTATGTAAATGTGAATGTCTAAATTTTTTTTAAATGGACAATGTGTTGTTGAATACAGTAATAACATAGTTACTTTTCTGAAAATAGGTTCCTACTCAGGTCAGTTCTGCCATACTAGTGTAGCATTTCATAAATAGTTGCAATACACACAAATGATCTCATACAACTAAATATCCTAAATACTCCAAAAACAGAAAATACTAACACAGTAGGAGTCACAAACAGAATAAAATTAAGTCAACTCTTAAGGCCAATTCACGGATGTACCTGCATGCCATAGCAAATCCCAAGAACAGGCTTGCCAATAGTGAATATCGCTGGGTCAAACCAGGGTGCATCTTCCGCATACACAGAATTAGGTCCTCCAGAAATGATAATAGCACTGTGGATTTAAGAAAGTGGGTCAGTGAAGAACCCCTAACTGCTCATTTTTACTCAAAGTCTATGCCCTCTCTCCCTTGTTCCACTGAGGGAGACTCAATACAGATTCAGAGACTGTTACGTGTTCGGTATATTGGAGCAGACTCAGATTCTATCACAGCTAGTTAATATCCTTCTACACAGCTTCATTATCTTTACTTTATTGCAATACGTGGAAGTCTACCAATTCAACATTCACTTGTAAATAAGCACAAACTTTCAAATATATAAATACCAATGTTTCTACCTGTGAAGGTTAGCATGCATTTGTTTCAACTGTTTTCTTCATCAATGGAAGAAGCAAATGAGAATTCTAAAGGGAGATGGAGAAAATATAGGTCTTCTGGGAGACAAGGAGTAAAGCAGGTCACAGGACAACTGAAGGTATTATGAAGGTCCTGGATGACTCCGAGCAAAACGCTCTACAACAAAGGATGGCAGACTGTGAAGAATTACCTAACTTTGCCTGTTTAAAACCTGTCCAACATTCCCAACAGTTTTACCTGAGACCCAGGAAAGGGAGCTAACATCTTTTGCCCCATACGCCCTGCTCTCAGAACCAGGTCTATATTATAACTTAGCATGTTACAGCTTACAGAGCCTTCTATGGATTCATTTGGGAGTCAAATATTATTATAAAGAAAGCAGCAAACTCAGGCCTATTCTATGTTCCTCATCTGACCACTGATAGGTCTAATTTGGCCCTCAGTATTCACTCAAAAAAATTTAGAACACTTTAATATTATGAATCTTACATAAAAATTCAGATTTCTGGTCTTTAGGAAAAAGCAGAAAAAAATCTGTCATCCTGGGCCTTCACCGTGGCATGGCCACAAGTAACTGGAGCCATGGGCAGACCTGCACCTTCAGACTCCACGTGCTCTCCACCCTGACACACAGGCCCACCTGCAGAGCACAGGCAAACTCAAGCCCCTCACTCGATTTAAAGTACCCTCAAATTCATTTTAAGTTTGAGTTTTCAGGAGGATTACAATTTACTTTATAATTAGTGGCTGCCTGCCATGTAAAAACATACAAACTAAAATGCTAAGCTTATACTACATCCAGAAGAATAACATAACAAAAGTCAAATTCATAAAAATTGCTCTGCAAGCGAGGGCACTTTAAAAAATATATAACAATATTTAAGTGAGCTCAAAAGCCCCACTCTTTCAACTCTGTATCGGGAACATGAATTATGGTATATATTATGTCTGTTAGCCTATCTCCTACAAAAGAGCCTGAAGACAACCACTCAGATGATCAATGTGACAGCTTTTAGATAAAAATTCTAAAGGGATGAGGGGTTAGCCCAAAGGATAGCTATGTAACGTAGCTCCTTAAAAATGCAGAAGCTAAAATTCTGTAAAACACATTTAATAAAACAATCAAGACCTCTAGAATTGTAGTATGTTATCTTTAGTTGTATAAAGGATAACCACCATGGGGCCCCAGCATCCCTCAATAATCTGCTAAACAACTCAAGGCTGTAAGATTCTTAATACTATTAGAAAGAAAAGGCAGTAGACTCAGGCAAGGATAAAACTTAAGCAGCACTTAAACCAATTACAAAAATTCTTATCTCAGTAAGTCTTTAGAAGAGCTAATCACTCATCCTGAGTCTGCTATTTCTACCCTGCTATTATTCTGAAACTAACTTGCAATCGCAAGGCCCAATAAGCCATACGCATTCCAGATACCAATTTTAGGTATGAGGCAGATTAAGGTTCTAAAAAGAGGTAGGTTAAGATGTCTCTCATATCATTAAAACTAATCCTTATTCTAGAAACACGGTGGTCAAACACGTGTCTCAGCAGAAAGGATTATAGGAATGAAAGCTACAACCTGTAGTTCCCACTCTACACAGAAAAGAACCTCTAGGCACAAGCGGAACAGGAACTGTTTAGGGTCAGGGGACAGGAAAAACAATCAAGACTTTTATTTCCAAGCATTTGGCGACCCTATTCTAAACATTTAGTCTGGGTTAGTTTGCTGGGGAATTTCTGTTTGTTTTGGGTGGGAGAATGCAGCATGGATCTCACAGAGCCATTCGGATTTCTCAAACAGTTTTCTGATTCCCCTAAAACTGGTTCTCACTGGCCATCAAGATAGCTGAATTAGATAAACTCAAAGGTCCTTTCTGACTCTAAAAGTCTACAGTTTAAAAAAACAGCTGTTTTCAATCTGCATCCTGAGACTAGAACAGGGTTAAATTTAAACCTGCCCTTTATGGGGCAGGTTTTTTTCCAATTCATTCTATTTCAGAAACAAGAATCCCAGGATAATATATACAGGTCTACGAAGTCTTTAAAAGTTAGCCACTTTTCTAATGGAAAAAAATTATGTTTTTAAGAAAAATTAAACACATATTTTGGAAGAAACATAGCATTAAGGTTTAAGAGCCAATTAAGGATATAACCTGCAGTTGCTTGCTTCTGGATAAGGGTCAATAAAAAAAGGACATCAATTCCATGAGAAAAGGCATAGTATTAACCAGAAACTGTTGTTAAAAGGAAGAAACTAAATATATAAGTTGTCTGTCATTTTGACTAGTTCTAAGAGTACAAGCTGTGGAATTAGCACTTATATTAAGAAATCTTAAGACTTAAGAAATCTTCATACTTTAGAAACCAGCCTCTTGCGATAGGAAGCAAAAAAGACTCATTGTACACAGAATCCTTCTCATTTAGGTATTCTAGCCACTGCACATATTCCTTTGATCAAATGCTCTGGAATATGGATGAATGAATGACCATAACAGCCAAATCTAGGCCTGATCCAGACATCCTATAAAATATAAAATACTCAACTAAGTTCTTATACCCATGCAATCAAAATCTTTTCCTTTAATTTTTTAAAATTTTCCCCTATTTTTTTTTAATCAAAGTCATGGGAAATTTCTTGTAAAACCATTCCATGTCTTATCTTCACAAAAAAATGTAGTGCCCAAGCAAATTAATAATAAAGTATCTCACAGTCTAAGCTCAGCCTCCTCAGAAAAACATAAGTGAAAAGTGTTACCGGAATCCTTGCTCTTTTATGGCAAATGCTGGTGTTTCCAAGGGGAAGATTTCAGACTGCACAAACAGTTCCCTCACTCTTCGGTCTATGACTTTCCCATACTGAGCACCAGCATCCAGAATGACAACAGCTCCTTCGCAGTGGCGGCGGCCATCCTTAAGGTCTCCTCCAGCATTCTCCAGCTGCAAGTATTAACACAAATGTCTTCTTAATCATGAAAATTAGAGCTACTCTGAAAAACAGTGGTCATTGTCAGCTCCAAAAACACAGTGAAACAAAAACTGTTAACTTAGGACTTTCTGAGTTACCAATTCAAAACGCTTCTTTTAAAGGGAAGAGTCTTACACATATCCATATAGAGGCATACATAAACACTTTCATAAAAGCCACCATTTACTTACTACACGATACAGTCACCACATATGACGCATCTTGTGTGCATTATCTAATATCATAGGGTGAGTATACAACACAGCTGTGCCAAAATATGGTCCTGGTAGATGCCTGTTATATTGGCATTATTATTAATGGTGCCTCCTTCGAATCTCAAAAGCATCCCAATTTGGACAATAAATTATATGGTCACCCTACCCAACAGTCACAGTACTCCTAGGAGGGATATACAGATGAGGAACTGAAAGTTTGCTGCCAGAGTATAAGCTTGCCCAAATCCATCTTATTAATATTTTTTGTATTACCTGAGGAAAATGACATATATGCATATAACCTACACATTAAAATTTTTAAAAAGCTTTTTACTGTTATCTCTGCCAAGTGTACACTGATAACACACTTTTCTAGAAAGCAATTCGGCAAAATGTAAAATTTTTAACTATGCGTGCTGAAATATTTACCTGGAACTGGCTTCAAACAATGCAAGAGTGGGTGGGTGTGGATGGAACACAACTGCCAATGCAGTAAAATCACTGGAGCGGGGTGACAGGCACACTGAGCTTGTTTTAGTTCAGCCTGTATTCTGTTTATATTTTACATAAGAAAAAGCTTTAAAAATTTGTATGTGCCTTGGAAATCCACTTGGAGGACACGTACACAATACAATCCCATTTTAAAATATTTTGTGTAAAAGTGCAAGAGTGTTGTGCATGTAAGAAAAAGAAACATTTGTACAGATATACACCAAAATATTGAGAGGTTATATCGGAATGATGGGATTACAGGTGATTTTAAATCAATCTTTCTTTACACTCCAATATTTCCTAAATGTTTACAATAAACATATTTTTGGACTTTTTCCCCTCCAGTTGTAAAATTTGCACATAAAAAAATTTAAACCAGTCCTCTAGGCCCGCGTGTAACCCTGTCTATCCCTCTTCCCTCTCTATTTACATGAAAGAGTAAATGCAGACCTCACACCGCCACTAACACTGCTGCTGCAGTAGTGAGAAGCCACCTAGAGGGGCTCTGTGGGAGGGACCTCACCACAGGCCAGGATCACCGAGATCACGAAAATGAAGGTTTTAATCATATCAATATCGAATATAGAAAAGTCAAATCACAGAGAGCGAAGTTTATAGAATATTAGTGCAAGAAAGGCTAAAACTTTCTCCTTTTAAACCTTTGCCCTTAGTCTTAGTGCACGCGCGAACGCACAAGCACCACGCGCGCGCGCACACACACACACACACACTCCCTTCTAAGGAATTTACCTAGTTTCTTAATCTTTTTTTGTAAAGAACAGTTAAAGTATTTTCGAAAGACACTGTTACAGTGTAAATTTCTCAGATTCAGTCTCATTATCACCTTCACACTTTTTACCAAATCCAAGTGCATCCAGTTTATTTTCACAGGACAGTCAGAGTTCTCACTTTGCATGACTTTGATATGCACACATTTCAGTGACCACTGTTTATACCAAGGCTTAGTTAACTAACACCAGTCCCCAACAGCATGGCTCAGTCACCATTTATTAAATGTGAGTAATTACATCAAGTACAAACTCGCTGCCAGCTCTTCAGTCCACAATCATCACATAAATAACAGAAGCGCATCATAATCAGTGACCAATCACAGCCCTTCTTTCAAGGCTGCTGGTGATTAGTCACCACACAACAGCCAAGAAGAGTGTGATTGTGTTGCCTCCTTGTCACCCAGTGAGAAATCCACACAACATCTTACACATATGGATAATCCAAAAAGGGGTCTAACCAACAAAGGTGAAAGTGCAGCAAACAAATGAGAAGTGACGCGCTGGAAGAGAAATTTGAGACCCATATAAGTGCAGTTACAGAAGAAATAGTGGGCCACGGCAATGCTGACCCTGCTGCACTTGGAGCAGCTCTAGATGTGCAGCCAGAGGAGCCGCGAAGGAGAACTCAGGGATGTTAGGGAGGAAAGCGGCTGCAATGAAAAGGATGAGAGTATCCCAGAGGAAGTAGCTCCAGGAAAAAGACTTCAAATTAAAGAAACTCTTGGAGATGTTTTAAAGCGCAAAGGAGAGAATACTGAAAGCCACAAAAGCCCAGGGAAGACACAAAGGGAAGCACTGTTCAAATTACTCTTGTAAGTTTTTTAACAAAGAAATAAACAATTCTCAATGTTTCTAATGTTTTAAGTTATACTTAATTTAAACAGAAGAGGGAGCACTATAAAGTTCTAAAAGTTATCTGAACCAAGATTCCTTCTAAAAATTCAGGAAAATTAAAATCACATAAAAGAAAAACAAAAGGTAGAGAAGTTAAATTCCATACAAAGTTACCAAAAGTTAAAAAAAAAAAAAAAGAGTAAGGAATAGAATAACATCTCCACAAGAGACCAAGGCAGAAAGACAATCAACAGATCGATACTAGAAGGAATTATTTCTAAATGAGCTAAAAAATATTAAGAAAATTATACAAGGAAGATAAGAAATAAGTGTTGGCGAAGATGTGGAGAAAAAGGGACCCTCGCGCACTGCTGGTGGGAATGCAAACTGATGCAGCCACAGTGGAAAACAGTATGGACGTTCCTCAAAAAGTTAAAAATATAACTGCCATATGATCCAGCAATTCCACTTTTAGGTATTTATCCAAAGAAAACAAAAACACTAACTCAAAAAGATACATGCACCCATGTTCACTGCAGCACTATTTACAGTAGCCAAGGCTTTGGAAACAACGCAAGCGCCCAGCAGTAGATGAATGGATAAAGGTGAATGGATGAAGACTCAGACACTACGTCACCTGCCTGAGGACACCGGCAAAAGCCGGACTAAAATGTGAGTCTTTTCTAACTCCAAAACAATTAGCACTACAGAAGGAAAGTGCATAAATATGCATTATATTTTTGCAAGACTATCTTCAAAATTATTTTATATTATTTTACTACTTAAAAGGGGTAAGCTTTATTACTTTAGAAAGTTTGCTTACTTGAGTGAAATAATGTTCTGTTGATGTCTGAGAAAATTATCATTATACTATATAAATGATACCAGAAACTGAATGTCATCAATACTAAACTCAAGTTGTTGCCCTTTAAAAAGACCTTTCACTTTTTTTCTTTTTTTTTTGAGGAAGATTAGCCCTGAGCTAAGTGCTGCCAATCCTCCTCTTTTTGCTGAGGAAGACTCATCCTGAGCTAACATCCATGCCTTTCTTCCTCTTTTTTTTTGTATATGTGAGACACCTACCACAGCATGGCTTGCCAAGTGGTGCCATGTCCGCACCCGGGATCCGAACCGGTAAACTCCAGCAGCCAAAGCGGAACGTGCGCACTTAACTGCTGCGCCACTAAGCCAGCCCCTCACTTTTTCTTTTTGAGGAAGACTGGCCCTGAGCTAACATCCATGCCCATCTTCCTCTACTTTATATGTGGGACACCTATTATAGCACAGCTTGAGAAGTGGTGCCATGTCCGCACCCAGGATCTTCACCGGTGAATCCCGGGCCACCAAATCGGAGCATGAGAACTTAACACTGTGCCACCAGGTCGACCCCTAAAAAGACCTTTCACTTTAGAAGTCTTCAATTGTCAAAATAAAATTAAAAGTTTAGGGTTAAAAGAGATTTTTAAAACACACATTTTAGTGATCTGGGATACTCAATTACCCAGAATAGTCTGTTCACTATCAAGATACTCAAAGTTTGACCACATTTACTTATCTAATCTCACCACACCTAACAACTCTGGAAAAGCAGTACAATTTCTTCACAAAATGATCCAACACCTCCAGTACTTTAGAAATTTCAATTGACTTCAAAGGTTTTTCATAAGAGACCCTCATCTCACATCAGAGGCTGAATGAAGCAGGTGCCCACAACTAAAGGGGAGGCTCCCTAGCTCCTGACTTTACCAAAGACTTGTTCTATCCTCTTCTTTTTTCGTTTAGAAAAATGTTAAACCTGCATAAAAGTTGAAAGTATGGTACAACGAACACCACCCTCCAACTAAATTAAACAATTAGTAATCTTCTGCCACACCTGCTTTATTTCTATTTATATATACTTTTTCCTCTAAACTACTGGAAAGTAAATTGTAGATATTTCGCTCCCCCCAAAATTTTCGGCACACACCTCCTACGAACAGGGACATTCTCCTACGTAACTACAATACCATTATCAAATCCAAGAAATTTAACACTGATAGTATCTACAAACGAATTTCCCCAAATGTCACAAATAATGTCCTTTATGGATTTCTTAAAAATTCCAGGGGCTGGCCCAGTGGTGTAGTGGTTAAGTTTGCATGCTCTGCTTCACTGACCCAGGGTTCCCAGGTTCAGATCCTGGGCACGGCACCAACCTACCCACTGCTGGTCAAGCCATGCTGTGGCAGCATCCCACATACAAAATAGAGGAAGACTGGCACAGATGTTAGCTCAGCACAATTTTCCTCAAGCAAAAAGAGGAAGACTGGCAAGAGATGTTGGCTCAGGGCCAATCTTCCTCACCCCCCCAAAAAAAAAAATTTCTGGAACCCTATCAAGGACCACACACTTGGCACATGCACTGTCATGTCACTGTCTCCTTTAATCTAGAAGTACTTACCTGTTCACCTTTTTATGGTCTCTCATGACACTGAAATTTTTTAAAAGTTCAGACCAGCTTTTTGTACAATGTCCCACAACCAGGGTCTGTTTGCTGGCTTATTTAGAACAATTAGATTCCAGATAAACACTTTTTGCCAACAATTTTACATTGGTGATGTTATCACGTCTCTGACGTGATACAATGACAAGGACACAATG